CTAAGTGCTTTTTATGAATTAACAAAATTTAATTCTCATAACATTCATATAAGGTAGGGGCTGTTATCATCCCAATTTTCCAACTAAGGTATAAAGAGATTAAATGACTGCCTGTGGTCAGATAGATAGGAACTAGCAGAGCTAGGATTTGTACCCTGGAGAGTTTTGTTCTCATATTCTTAACATTGTGCTCTTCTGCCTCGTGGCTTTGGATGCTGACCATTACGAACTTCTGTGTTTAAGTGTGGCAAGAGAGGGATGAACTTGCTGGGACCAGAAATCATATGTCTGATGGTGTCCTTTCTGAGAGGGCCCACTAAGGAAAAGACTTCACCAGGTAGATTTTCAAGTCAATCTAGTAAGCCTGGCCTCTAGGGATCAGGGGAATAAAAGGGACCATGGGACAAAAATAAGTAGTCATGACATGTCAGTTTCATAGCCTGAAAATAAAGCAAGTGACAGGAAGTTTGTTTATTTATTTATTTTTTTTGGTGGCTGGCCAGTACAGGAATCGAACCCTGGACCTTGGTGTTAGCAGCACCGTGCTCTAACCAACTGAGCTAACCGACCATACCTGAAAGGAACTCTTGTAGGAGAAGGGCGTGAACTTAACCTGGATAGGACTAGGAAGCTGCTTTGTAAAGGAGAAGATTTCTGTTTTCTTGAGTACTGATTAGGTAGGAAATACCTACTTTTATTTCTGATATTCTGGGCCTCTCTCTTCCTTTGACTTCAGCTCTCACAAGACTCTAGAGGAATGTATCATTCATTCTTCCATTCACTTAACAAACTTGTATTGATCATCTCTCTACTACATGTCAAGCATTGCACTATGCACTATGAATATGGATACAAAGCTATATATCACACACACAGTTCCAACCGCCAAGGGACATAGTCCAATAAGTGAACAACACAGAGGGCCTCTGGAGAGCAAAGCAGTATGTCCAACTCAGCCTGGTAATAATGTGTCCTAGGCAAGCTCTGCCCTCAAACAGTGGCTGTTTATGGATCTCTTCCAACTCTGGGTATTTCTTGGACAAGGTTAGGTTTGTTCCCAGGTTGATTCTTACTGTCACTCCTTTTGGTTTTGTCAGTTTTGTCTTGCCACATGGGTGTCCCCTTCAGTGACAGATGCTTATTGAATAGCTGCCCAAGGAGCTGAAATCTGTGGATTTGTCCCTCGATTGGCCCGGATATAGTTTAGAGTCATTTCAAATAATTTATCCTCATTAAACAAGGTTTATAGTCTCACCATCGCTGCCAGTGGTCAGGAGGTAAGAGGGGGGCTTTAGAGTTTTATAAAAAAAGTCCTTCACTTATGAGTGATGATTCCTTGCTTTCTCATTGTAAACCTAATCCCTTCCACACTGGGGTAGCCGTCATGCTCCAGAACACTCACAGGACACTCCTCAAGCCTTGTCATCTCTGGTTCATCTTGAAAAAGCTGCTCTGTAGCTGTGTGTAGTCACTGTCCACCCATGTTCCTCCATGTGACAGGTGTGGTCCACCTTCAGTGAAGCATTCTATGGGATGGTGGAGAGCAGTGCCTCTAGACACTTGAGTGTGCAGCATTGTCACCTGCAAAGCTTATTGGAAGTCCAGATTCTGAGATCACACTAAGAGGAGAGTTCTGGTCTAAGAGTCACAATGGGGCTACCTTCCTGGCTGTCCTATTTACCTCATAACCTTGGCCAAAGCAGGTGACCTTACCTGTTAAATGGGCACTACAGTAATTCCTCAGGGTGATGGTAATGATTAAATGAGAATGCAAGTGCATATTCAAAAGTATCTTGCAAATTATAAGGAGAAACACAAAATATAATTATTTGTTGTCAGAAGCACTGTTCCTTCCTGGACCAACATAACATGGAGGTGTTGGTTCAAAAGGTCTGGGACTCCAGACTTTGCCTGCCTCACTACTTTACCTCAGGGCAAGGGAAATTGGTCTTTACCTTAGCAGTAACCAAAAAGAGGGCACTGTTTGAGACCCATAAATTGACTGCATGTTTGCTAATGGAGAATGCATAAAGAAGACTGACCCAGAAGTTGTAATTTTCCTGTTTTGACCTTGGGGTTTTGGAGACTCTCATAATAGCAATACCATTTGTTGAGAGGCAGTAGTGTCATCACCTGCCTGGGTGAATGCTGGCCCCAACCCTTAGTAGAACCTGTGTGACCTATCTACAGATTTAATCCCTCTGTGTTTCATTGTCCTATAAAGTGGTGTTAATGATAACAGTGCCCCCTCCAAAGATTGTTGAGAGCATTTAATGATGTAGATATGAAAAGTGCTTAGAAAAGTACTTGGAAGGCAGCTGGGAAGTACTCAACAAATGATGGTTGTATTATTATGAAGTTTTGCTGTATGCTAGCCCTGTGCTAAGCGGTTTATGTGGATTATTTAATTTAATCTTTACAAAACCCTTTGCCGTAGAACCATTATTATTCCCATTTTATGAATGAGGAAACTGAGGCTTGGAAGCATTAACTAACTTGTTCAACATTGTAGAATTAGTGGTAGAACCAAGATTTGAACCTTAGTCTCTCTGACTTCAGAATCTGTGCTGTCTACTACTATGTTATGGTGTGTCTGGAATACCAGATGGATATTTTCCCTTCTCGCCTTCAAAAAAAAGCAGTGAGAAATTGGTGACGTGGCTGGGATGAAGGAAACAAGATGTAAATGGTGAGATTGTGGTTCACCTCTCAGGAAGGTAATACCAGATGGATATTTTCCCTTCTCGCCTTCAAAAAAAAGCAGTGAGAAATTGGTGAGGTGGCTGGGATGAAGGAAACAAGATGTAAATGGTGAGATTGTGGTTCACCTCTCAGGAAGGTCCCATGAGCACATTAACGTGTACCCCAAAGGCTCCCTCTTGGGGAGACACCTTTTCCTTGTCGACCTGCACTAGAAGAAAGGGCTACAGCCCAAGCCCCTGTAGCTGAGGGAGCTTATAGTGTGGCTAGCAAATAGCTTTCAATGCCAGAAGCATAGCTTAGTATTTAATTCAACACTTCTTAAAATGAAGGCTGCATTTTGCCACCCACAGCCATTTGTTTTCTTTCTTCACTCACCACCATTCTTTCATTTAAAAAGGGTTAAAAGCTGCCCTTTATGATCACAGCCAGGACTTGAGTGAAAAGGCAGAATTTTGCGTCTGAGGGTCCCAGAGGGGAAACAATTGTCCTGAAGAGCTGGCTTTTTGCAGTAGAATGTGTCTGTTTACTGTTTGAATGCCCAAGTCAAGGATTTGCCTGACCAGTGGCTGCCTGACCCTCACTGCCACACTGAAATTCAAATGTTCCTCTGACGTGCAGAAAGTCGTGACTCTTCAGCCACCTGCAGCTAACCTGATACCCACCCAATGGAATGCTTTGTATCTGAAGTCTGCACAGAGAAATCAGGACTTCTTTTATCACTCAGTCAAAGGCGGGGTGATAAAAAACAGGGCTGAAGCCTCCTGTCTACCTTCAGTATTCCTTTTCACTTGCATGCAGCACCAGAATACCACTGCTTTTGCTCTCCCCATCCTGGCACTCAGATTCTTAAAATCGAGGCCTTTTGGAAAAATTTAGCTCCTGCATCTTCTTCACACTCCCATATCTCCATTTATTGAGCATCTTCGGTGTGCAAGACATGAGGTTAGTTTCTTCCACCTTTATTTTCTTGTCCAGTCCTTTGTGGCTCTTTTACAAACTAGGAAACTGAGGCTGAGAAAGCTAAGTGACTTGCGCAAGGTCTCACAGCTGGTTGGTGGAACTCGGGTCTGTCTGCCCCAGATCCAGTGCTTTCCCCTCTGCCCCACCCCTTCTCCTCCAATTCCTCCCTTCCTCTTTGTTCTTGTCACCCCTTCTACACTGAACTCCCTGCCGGTACATCTCCACTTCCTGCTGTGTGTGGCTAACAGCGTTTCTCAACCTCTGTTGACATTTTGGGCTGGATAATTCTTTGCCGTGGGGGCCTGTCTGTGCATTGTAGTACGTTTAGAAGCATCCCTGGCCTCTACGCACTAGATGCCAGTATCACCGCCAATCAGGACAGCCAAAAATGTCTTCAGACAGTGCCAAATGTCTCCTGAGGGGCACAGTCATCCCCAGTTGAGACCCACTGATTTAGGCTTAACCTTCCTCTTCACCATGCCTCCCCATAAAGGGAATCTGTGTGTTGGGGAGCCTCATCACATAGAGTATTCTTTGCTGTTTAATCCAGCCAGAGTTCCCTAAAGGGGTGCCTGTAGCTGTGATGAGCCTGTCACATGAGGCTCTCTTTTCGAGGATCTGAGTGAGAAAAGCCCTCATCCCTTCTCAGTGCTCTGAGAACAGGCCAGAAAGGATGAGGCTGGGGCTGGGGCAGCCAGGTCTTTAGTGCTCCCTGGGGAAGAATCCTCTGTCCTGCATTTGCAGAGAGACCTGGAGAGACATGAGCACTGGGCTTGGAGTGAGGCCTTCCTGTGAGGTACAGAGATGCTGCACCTCCCAAATGGATTTCCCTTAGCTTCTGCAGAAAATCCTGCATCTTTTCTAGGGCAGCTGATTCCCTTAGCATGTGGAGGGAGAGTGCCAGGCCTCAACTGAGAATCTAATGAAAGCTGTGGTCCCTCACCCCAGAAATATACATTTGCCTATAGCTTCAAGGGTTCACAGATCCCAAAGGCCGTCCACGCATCGATCCATTGATCGTAAGTTAGGAAGATCTGCCTTATGCTCACACTTATCCTTAGGGTTGAAGTGGAAAGGGAGGGGTGTAGGGCCCTCTCCTTGCTTTTGGAGGGCATAGCAACACACCCTTTCATTCCCAGCCCTAAACCCTAGGCCAGGCCAACTAATTGTAAGGTGAGGCGAGGATGTACATTGAGGAGCTCAGTTGAGAGAAGTTTGGCCAGGTAAATAGTAGAAGAGAGGTGGTAATTCAGAGCTGGCTCCTTCCCTTTCCCAGCCCAGCCTGAGGGCAGAGCCCAGCTGAGGGGAGGAAGAGGAGAAGGAAGCAAGGGGGAGAGATGAGCAATGAGCTGCGGCCCCCTCCTTCCCCAGCTGCGAGCAGCCCAGCGGGTTAGATGAATGCTGGGAGGGGGTAGAGTGACCCTGGCAGAACCCTTTGTTCCAGCTGAAGCTGGAGCAGGGGCACTGAGCCATTCACACGCCATCCCAGGGCATCCTGCTGGGCATGCTGGGGAGGGGGCACAGCAGCCGGTCATGGGACTTGGCCAGGCAGATAGCTCATGCTCAATAGGGAAGCCCAGCTGCGTGCTGCTGAGGCTGGGGGAGGGGCTGCGTCTGCCATCCTTCCTCTTAGTCCCGCAGACAGGAAGGCCCTGGCTGGTCCCAGCTACTCTGCCCTGAGCTGGCCTGGTCCCCTCCCCCTCTGGCCTCACTCCTGGTCACCCTCCTCAAAAGTAAGGTCCTTGCTGGGGGACTCACAGCAGCCCATGCTGCTTCTTGCTCTCCTGTGTGGATTCCTTATCCTAAAGAGGCTGCAGCATTTTAATTCCACTATTATTTTTTGCCCTCCCTGGCCAACATCCCAGGGCCTGGTTCAGGATAGAGGCAAAAGCATGTATATCTCAACCTAGATTTGGAGAGAAAGATATGGAGGTTTCTGGGCATCACCCATTCTGTACCCTGCTCCCCTTCTCTAAGAGCACCAACCCTCTGGGTGACATCATTTGTCTTTGGGCCTTTAGAGGTGCTGTGCAAAAAAGCCCTGCCATAGAGGGAGCACCTGGACTATCTGTGAGCCCAAAGTCAGATGGTTTCTTCTGGACCCTTTATGCTCGGAGGTGGAAGGAGGGCATGACTACATTGTCCACATCTCCCTTGCAGCATCACTGTGGCTCTCTGAGTGACAGTGCTCCTAGACTAGGCTCCTCTACCTTCCCCCTGTATTGGGCTTTGACTGAGCAGAGGTGAGCCCTCATTGGTTCCTCTTCTGTTTGCTCAGGCCTGGCCAGCAGCCCTGAGTGTGCTTGTGGTCGGAGTCATTTCACATGTGCGGTGAGTGCCCTTGGCGAGTGTACCTGCATTCCCGCCCAGTGGCAGTGTGATGGAGACAATGACTGCGGAGACCACAGTGATGAGGACGGATGCAGTAAGTACCGCCCCAGGGGCAGTAAGAGGTGGTGGAACAGGGACCTGAGGCTGAGGGCAGGGACAAGGCTGGGGGAGCGTTCTGTGCGTCAGCTGTGTCAGATTCAGAGAACTGGACTCTTGGCCCCAGGGGCAGTAAGAGGTGGTGGAACAGCGACCTGAGGCTGAGGGCAAGGACAAGGCTGGGGGAGCGTTCTGTGCGTCAGCTGTGTCAGATTCAGAGAACTGGACTCTTGCGAGGGTGACAGATATTCACAGACAGGTGGTTTCTTCACAATATGAATGGCTCCAGCCCTCCTGTATTTCTACAGGTTGGTTCATGCATATATGTGCAGTAAAACAAACTTTAAAACAATTATAAAAAGAAAACACCTTGAAACAACAAGTAATCTCTTTAAATAGATCTCTCCGTGTTTATATGAATATGTGTTTGTGTATATGTAGGGAATATTTGTGCATTTTTATATGTATACACTATACACGGATGCAGATCATTTCCATGTTTCTTATTTTGGTGTTCTGTATAATTGCATGTTTTTTAATAACATAAAATTTGTAAGATATCTTATATTCTCTTTAAATCTCCCTTTTCCCTAACACAGAAACATGTCCACAATGGCCAGGGTGTCCTGCCTTGGTTATGTAGAAATATCACTGCTAAGCCAGTTGTCTGGGGTTAGGGGTGCAGTTTCCGACCTGCTGCATCTATGTCTGAGGGTGGCTAATTAGTGTAATGAGAATGAAGCCACATTAATCCTAACCAGTTCAGCTAATTGTGATGATGGTAAATGCTTCGCTTTCATGCAGTTCTTTCATGTGCGTTATCTCAAAAGACCTCTATGAGCTGAGTATAATTACCCCCATTGTACAGTCGAAGAAACTACAGCTCAGGGAGAGTAAATTACTTGCTCAGTGTGATAAGTAATGAGTTCTAGTACTGGAAATTGAGCCCGGATGTGTCAACCATCAGGTAATAAGAGGACAGGAGGAAAAAAAGCACTTCTTTCTCTTGCTCATTGTTTTCTTCCTGCTTCTTAGTGGCTTTGAGTTCTTCGAGTTGTTCTTCCCCTGCTCTGTGAATCCCTCACTCACTTCGATTCCCTTCTGATACTTTCTTCTTAGCTGCTGATTCTGCTCAGCTGCCCCATCAGCTGGGGACAGCATGGGAGCCTGTGGGAAGGACTATGAGACAGACGGGAGGATTTGGAATAAGGGGTGTTGGGAAAGGATTTCTGTGCAGTTCAGCCTTACTGAGTACACCAGATGGATTCACTTTTCCCTTCTCTTCCTGGGACTCAGTGCTGCCCACCTGTTCCCCTCTCGACTTTCACTGTGACAATGGCAAGTGCATCCGCCGCTCCTGGGTGTGCGATGGGGACAACGACTGCGAGGACGACTCAGATGAGCAGGACTGTCGTGAGTGTTGGCAGGGGCCAGGTGGACACCATCAGGCTCTGTTGGGAAAGGGTTTTCAATCAGAAAATGATGCCCCAGGCCCACATGAGCCTTTGGGTTTTCAGCTCTTTGTTCTGTCCTTTCACCTCCTTTCTTGGTCAAATAAGCCCCCACTGGCGGCTGCTTCCTTTGGAGCCCTCGGGGCAGCATCAGAGCTGCTTGGCTGCTCCAGAAGCCTTTATGTTGGGCTTCCAGGCACCAGCTCCCACTGCCTGCAGCAGCCTGACTGCTCTGTGCCCACAGCCCCCAGGGAGTGTGAGGAGGACGAGTTTCCCTGCCAGAACGGCTACTGCATTCGGAGCCTATGGCATTGTGATGGTGACAATGACTGTGGCGACAACAGCGATGAGCAGTGTGGTAAGTGGTGCTATGGGGAGGCAGGCAGGGTGCTTGGTGGGTGGCCTGGTCACTGGAGGAGATAGCAGCAATGGCCCTAGCATTGCCAACCCTGGAACATTCCCAGGTACCTAGAGCATCTGGAGGAAGGCAGGAGGGGCCGGGCAGTCCAGAGCCCCCAGGAACCACAGGCCAGAAGCCTGAGGCCCAGTCTCTCCAGGGCCTCAGCTTTTCCCAGAGAGTCTGCACCAGGTGTCTTTCAAGGGCTGGGTCAGACCCCCCCCCCCCCCCCC